TGATCCCTTATACCTGTAATGGGTCCCGGGGACGCAGCCGTTCCGACTCACGGAACCGAGTGGAAGCTCCGCCCCCGGGCCGACGACGTCATACGAGACCGCCTCCGGCCTCGTCATAAGCTTCAATCTCCCACCTGTCTGGCGTTCCAGCAACCCTATGCGGACGCCAGACGAGTGCCGGTCCCACTGCAGCAACCTGCCACAGCTTCAACCACTCGACAGCCGAACCCCAGCTGACAGGCTATCTCGGGATCTCTGCGCTAGCGTTACCAGCTTAATTCCCACTCAACCCTCCAGACTCCAAAACCGCAAGTATTCCCCTTTGGGTTGCTACCCACAGGGAATTCAATTGCCTACTATAACTGCCTTGGACTGATTTATACTGTGGCATTGAAGATAAGGGAAGCCTGCCCTCTGCTGGCGACTAAAGATATTGTCTAAACTACTAAAATTACACTGATATTGTGGAGCACTTAATTCATACCTACTTTGATGAACTGTGATACCGTGTGTTTAACATATGTGAAGTGAACATATAAAGTTATACAAACAACAGGTTCTGGGGATACACCAGACTGGGAGAACCAAGTACTGGGGTTGTGTGAATTGAACATAACTGCCACAGAAGTGCATTCCAGTGTGAAGTAACATTAGTGAAGCCATTCACTCCCACCATTGGCCTAGAGACCACCCCCTATTCTGCTACATACCTTAATAGAAACTGTTGTAGGAGTAGTAAGCTTAGTTAGGTTGGAAGATAGACCGATGATGCACTGAGCTTGCTTGGCAATATTAAACCTTGCCATCACAAACTCCTGCGCTAGAGCACGTGACGGTTAACGTGTCTCCGCAGCTGAGCTCCATCTTCCTATTCAAACAGATTATTACAATACCTGGGAGCCCTGTTCCATTATAGTAACAGAGAAAGAGCTCCATTGGAGCTGGGAGGCAAAAAGTATATCTTTCTGTACTTCCAGGATTCATGTATGCACAGCCAGGGGTCCATCCGGCTCGTCTGCTGCATGTCACTCACACGCCAGCTTGAGGCCTATTGGCCGTGCTTATTTCAACAACTTAGTTATTTCAACAACTCCTAAATAAAACCTCAATTCCAAAAATGTTGGGAGACTGTGTAAAATCTACATAAAAACAAAATACAATGATTTGCAGATCTCATAAACCCATATTTTATTCACAATAGAAAATAGAAAACATATCTAATGTTTAAACTGAGAAAATGTACAATTTAAGCAAAAAATAAGGTAATTTTGAAATTGATGGCCACAACAAGTCTCAAAAGTGTTGGGACAGAGCCATGTTTACCAGGCTGTAGCATTCCCGCTTCTTTTAACAACACTCTGTAAACGTCTGAGAACTGAGGTGACCAGTTACTGCAGTTTTGGGAGAGGACTGTTGTGCAGTTAGAATCCTATATCAGGCAAGAATGGGACAACAGTCCTGGGTCTTCTTTGTCATAATTTTCATTTTAAGATGTGCCAAATATTTTTAATTGGTGAAATGTCTGAACTTCAGGCAGACTAGTTAAGCACCGGGATATATGCAAGGCCTTCCCTGAAAAAGATGCCATCTGGATGGGAGCATATGCTGTTCTAAAAACTGGATATATCTTTCAGCATTGATGGTGCCTTTCCAGATGTGCAAGCTGCCCATTCCATATGCTTTAATGCACCCCCATACTATCAGGGATGCAGTGCTGATAACAAGCCAGAAGGTCCTTCTCCTCTTTAGTCTGGAAGAGCGGCGCCCATGGTTGTCAAAAAGAATGTAAAATTTCGATTTATGGTTGTATAATAGTAATATCCTTGTTCAATTATATGTCAGTTTTTCTTCAAGGTTATTAACCTTGATGATAATTACAATCTATCATAGCTGTTGAGAACTAACTTTTAATCTTTAGAACAGACACTTGGCACAATGGTGGCCTAGCGATCAGCACAGATGCATTGCAGTATTGCTGTTCAGTTCCTACCTGTTCCTACCTTTTGAGTTTCCAGGTTTTCAAGCATCCTCCAAATTCCAAAAATAATTAGGTTAGTTAAATTACTTCTACACAACCCCTAGGTATTGTGCTACTGTATAACTGCTGTAGGGACATTAAAATGTAGGGCTGGTTGAAAACTGTTAGAATTTAAGCCCATTTACAGAAATAAGATGACATGTTTAAAGTGTGTAGCTCTGCTGGCTTGGCAAAAATCAATTACACAATCTACTTTGGTCGAAGTAACTGAGCTGAAAAGCTTTGTCTGCACAGTGCCTACAGCCAATCAGCAGCAGTCATTGTGCATGTATTCTGTCAGCGGCAGACAATCGCTATCAGATAGATAAAATAGCTGTAGCGGGAGATTCGTCCATCTGTGCTAGCATGACTGAATGAAGAAAAAAAAAGGCTGAATGAAAAATATCCAACTTATTTTCTTTTAGTGCAAGGAATTATAAAAATGTATTTATGTAAAGCACTGAGGAATATGCTAGCACTGTGAACATTGATTGCAGATCTGGAACTGGTAATTTTTGCTTTCCCTAGACTTCTTAAAATCCATGGAAAAGAAACAGCATTTAACAAAAATACCATATTTATTTTCAGACTGATGAATGGAACTGTGAGTAATGTATTCATGAAATCCCCAGCAAAATAGCAGTGTTGTTGGAAACTGTATTGTAATATTGGCAACCATGCTATAAGCTACACTACAGATATGAATGATCAAGGAATGTGTAAAGGTGCTGGTCCAGATTCAGTGGTTGACTTTGTAAAGGTAATGAAGTGACAGATGATTTTTTATAACAGTATGATTTTTTATAACAGTATAGAGGTGTTCCTGGAGGCTAAGGTGGAAATTTTTCAACAACACTGAAGAAACAGAGATGGATTTGTAAGGGTACATAAAAAATTACTGCCAACCTCAAAAAACCTACAGAATCCATTTTAACTCCCAAACCTCATCATAACAGGGCAGATGTAATGTACTATTACACAATATTTAGACATATACACATACAGCGTTGGACTGCCGGTTAAACAACAGGATCTTTTGGTCTACCATGAAACCCTGTAAGGTGCTCAGTAAAAATAAAACATAGGAACTTGGTTTTCTTGTTCTCAGATATCATATTATCATAAGCACATTCATTCAGAAATTATTGTTTATGTATTCAGGCTTGTGCACATATATTTTATCTTTCTATACTGAGTTTTGCATCCATAATAGTAAAGACAAACGAAAAAAGTATAACAAAAGCAAGAAAAAACCATCAAAAATGATTCATCAAAGTAAAGTTAAATGTGCACTGTCTAGTATACAGTATTTAAAGAATGCATCCTGTGTACAGATATCCATAAGAGCCAGTTAGACTGATGGTGATAGGTTGGCTGATGCAAACACAGTATGGCTTTTACCATTGAAGACTGCTATTCTGTTTCCAATTATGTTTTCTGATTAAGGAAGAGGAGACTGTACTGCAGCAGCCTGCATGAAGTTATAGGCTGCCAAACAAGTAGCCACCAATGTCTCTCTTCCTTCAATAGCATATAGAAAATTGACCAGTTCCTTTCGCAAGGTTGAAGCTGTCACTCTTTCACTAATAGACTGGTATATTCACTGTACCAATAGTATATGTATGCAAGACAATTTTTCAGTGCATACAAATTAAAATAATTTGTGGTCAAAGCCCCACTGATACGTACCCAAGAATCGAGATGATGGACCTGCCTACAATGACCTGGGGTGTGCCGTGGTCACTATGGTCAGTATGCAAAATAAGGGGGCATACTCAGAGTAAAAGGTAACTGAAAAAAGGGGTGAGGCGGGGGGGTTGACGCCCACGAGCGGACAGGTGAGAGTGGGAGACTAATTCATTAGCCTACCACATGTCTGAACAGGAAAATCTGGAAAGGTTTCAGAGTCTATATTTTCAATGGTCAATTGGATGTGTTTTCCCTTTCTTAATATGAAACATATTGTAGATCAATTTATGCTGGTAATTTGACAAGCCCTTAACAATTATACACCAGAAGAACATAATCCGTTATACAAAGCCAAGATTTCAACACCCAAACCTCAAAGCTCTGCCAAATGGCTACAAATATACAGCAACTCTGTCCAATATCAAAACTATTAAACAAGACTTGGCAAATCATTTGTTTTTGATTTCATACATCCAAATCAGAGGCGTACATTAATGTACACAAACAGTGTAAGGGCAAGTTATACATGGGTTGAAGTCACCCAAAGTTCTGCCTGCTTCTGGTTATACTCAACACTACCTGCAGCGAACCCTTCCTCCCATCTTGAAGGATTCATTGAACCCCATCAGCTTCCAAGATGTACATTTACAGCTGACTGTTTTTTGTTTTTTTCAATTCAGTGAAAAGCATGTCTGTAGGAAAATGGCCAATTCAGTTGCTCTGCATTGCACTCAGCAAATAAAAACATGCGTACCCTCTCTCTATGATTGCTGCTATTACAGTTAAATGCAAGTGAGAGAGCTGCAGAACTGATGTAAGTAAGTCTATGCTGCCTAAAATAGCACTAAAAGCAAACCATGATCTTATCCAAGTCATAAACTTTACACTACCATATCCAAATCCAAAATAAACAACTGGTGTAAACAATCAAGGTCTGTGCTGCAGTTGAGGAGTCATTTTGACTCATCCGTGTATAAAAACTGTTTCGGTTCAAGTATACTTTGGGTATATCTCGTCGCCTAAATGGCCGGCTTCAGATCAAACAATTGTATTTCAGTAGGATTAAGGTCAGATCTTGACAATTCTAATGTATAGAATGCATAGAATTAGATATGTTTAAGCCACCATCTTAAATAATACTATGCCTTAAGAATCATTGTTTTCTGATTTGGTAAATATGCAAATTCTAGCTGTGCCAGAAATCCAAAATAAATTGTTATATCTGTACTCCACTTCATAAAGGCACTTAATATGTAATGGTAGTTTTCAAAAATGAGACAAATAAATTACTTACCTTTACATGTGCAAGATACTGGTCACATTTCTCTTTCATGTGAGTGAGCTGTATCTTCTCACTAATATGAGCAACAGTTTCTCCTGGTGAAACCAAGAACACCCTGGGCTGTTGGCTTTTTTCTTTCTTCTCAATATCAGCGGTCACATTGTAGGTTAAACCTGCAAGATACAGTCCTTCATGAAAAATTGACCCTACAACAAACTGTATCTACAGGTAAAGGCTGGTAACCTGCTGGCTTCTTTTTTTTTCCTGGGGATTCCAGTGGTGGGATCTCCCAGCTGTATTTCATGGCTCTGCTTTACCCACATGACAAAAATGACAGGCTTAGAATATAATTTATGCTGTAATCCATAACAAGCAATCTAGGTTTTCTTTGCAGATTAAATCAAAAATGTTGTATTGCTCTAAATTACTTGTGTTTACTGATTTTGTAAATGGTAGGCCAGGTCAGAATTAGAGCATGCAACTTCAACAGGCTTTTTCAATAAAGCAGTGCAAAAAGCAATATGGATGTGGAAAGCGCAGCAAGCCAAAGGAACCATGCAGGTTTTGAAGACAACATATCCTGAAAGAAATATGGAGGCTACTACTGTGGACATCATTCTAAAATTAGCAGTTGTCTGGCTATATCTGATTTCAGTGCTATCTTTGTCATTAAAAGTGATGGGCCCAGCACACCCAAGTTTGGTTCAAATTCGAAACTTTAGAAAATGGAAAAAGTTCAAATTCAAACTCGAACTCAATGAAAGTCGAACTTGAAAAATCAAATGTCCCCCTTTCGAAAGCTTATATGCAAGTTATTGGCCATAAAAAGGGTATGGGGATTCAGGTACTGATCTGGGGAACATGTATCAATGCAAAAAACACTTTTAAAAAATACAGTTTTAAAAGGAGCAGTGAGCTTAACATTGCTTAAAGTAAAACAATAAAAAATTCCTTTAAATATCGTGCCTGGAGGTTCCCCTTAAACTGCCTGTGAAGTGGCACATCTGTACGAACCTGCTGCAGCAAAAATACATTTAAAAAAATTACATAAAAATTACAAAATAGCTTGCGGTTCCCCCTAAGGTCAAGCAGGAATTTTAGGAGGGACACCAATTTTTTTAAAAAAAGACGTGGGCCCCCCCTGAAAATTCCGAACCAGGCCCTTGATCCGAGCACAGGCCTGTGTAACAGACTTACCTTGCCACGCTCTGGGATCAGCCTCCAACCCCGCCTGCTCATGTGGGGTCACGCAGCTCCTCCCCCCTCAACCCAGCTGTCTGAAAAAAGCCACAGCTTTTGAAATGCTAAGTGTCTAGGCAATGTAATAGACACTGAGAATTTCCCTGCACATAGCTTACCTCCCCATCTATTCATCCAGTCTGCAGTTTATCAGAGCACACCTTCTCATTCCCTGACTACAAGTGCACAGTAACCCCTCAGCCACCAGGACTGCAAGATCAGAGTTTGATCCTCAGCTCACTGAACCTGCCAGCACAGGGAACCACCCTTACTCTGCTTCTCAGATTGCAACAATCCTCATCCTCCTGGACCCACTTAAGCTTATTCCTCTACTCTCATCTATGGAACACTTCCACCCTCTCCAGAGCAGCTATCCGCAAGTATTCCTTCAGCTATTAAGTTGCTTGTTGCTGTCGATCCACTATATGCTGTTACATCTCTTTCGAGGGGTACTAGTCGCCCTGTTCCCAGGGTTATACTGTGTGCTATAAACCAAGAACTTAATCTCTTGTATGATGGAATACAGACTGTTATTCGCAGAGTCTGGGTGCTAACACTCTCATGTGAGGGATATGATGCAATACCACTTGCTATACACTAAAAGGACTGTTCCTTGATAATTCTACAACTCTGTATGAAGTAATACAGATTGTTTATTCTTACCCAGGACTTGCATAATCTCATTACATGCCCACATGTGTTTACATTGTGTACCCCTGCGATCCTCCTGATTAGCTGACTGCATATAGTTCCTTGAAGCTAAGAGATGCACAGGAAGTAGTGCCTATCCGCAGCTGTGATTCATTCCAGGTAAAGACTAAGTACCCTGCTACATGCGGTACACCCTGCCATACCAGGCTACATGCCCTTGACACCAGGAGGGTGCTTTTTCAGGGTCTCCCCTGGAAAAGCACCTTGTCCCCGTGCCGATGGGGACAAGGGCCTCTTCCCCACAAGCCCTGGGGCGTTAGTTGTGGGGGTGCAGGGCAAGGGGCTTATTCACATTGGGTTACCCCTTTAATAAAGGGGCACTCAGATGCGCCCCCCTTGTGAATGAGTAAGGGGTACTTGTCTACCCATTCACTAAAGTGAAGTAAAAACACAACAAAGGCTTTTGACAAGTCCTTTATTTAAAAAATTGATCCACTGACGTAATCCTAGGGTCAATCACCACGTCCAGCGTTGTCCACGACAATGACAACTCGACGAAATTTAAAATAAAACAAGAAAATATAAATAGACCTTTTTTAAAAAGCCAGCCGACCTGTCCGCTAGCGACGAACTCAAGCCGCAGAATGGCATTCTGACAGATGCAGGTAAAATATAAACAATTGGGTGGGGCTTGTGGTGACAGCTAGCTCCGCCCAACTGTTTACATTTGTACGTCATCATGACTTTGCTCTCACAGTTCTCTGTGCTGTGATTTGGTGAAGTCTTGCACCTGACCTGTGGTCAGGTGCATTGCTTTACCCAATCAGGCCCGCACAAGCCCGCCGAACGCCCTGTCAGTTTGTGTGTTCGCTGAACACACAAACTGTTAATGTTCCAGTGGAAATATTCGACTCAAACATCGAGCCCATCCCTAGTCATTAACACAGAACAACCATGCAGTTTACAAAGTCAGAGTGCACTTAGAACTCCTGATTCATATACAGTTTCCTGTTCAGTATTTTCAAAAATACTTACCCCAATGTATTAGCGCTTTCCAGCCATGCAACTAGCATCCTCAAAAAGAGAGGTAAACAATGGGAGCTTCCATATTTTTTTAATCACTAACATGATTTCAGCAACTTTAATATAACAGGTTTCCACTTTTTACTTTCATTAAATCTCCTGTCATGTCATGATTTGCAAAAGAAAAGGAAAGTACAATCAAGATCAGCGCACTATTAGACAATCAAATTAAAAAAATAATCCCCTCATTAGATTGTAGGTTTGCCACCATTCCTTTTACTCATTAATGTCTCTTTTTTTTTTATTACTGCTCTCAATTCTAGGATCAGGTGCACCACTGGTGAATGTCAATAAGCTGCTGTGATTCAGTACAAGAAAAAGTTATGCAATCTCACCAACACTTCAACTATTGTGTTAAGCTGGCCATAAACTAATCAGGGAAAACAAAAACCTTGATTCACCCATCTACACCTAAACAGCGTGGGGGGGGGGGCTATTGCATTCTGACAGTGGAGGGTACGTTGCTGTCAAAATATCCGAATAGTGGCCGCAGTTGATCACTGTTTGGCTGGGAATTTTTGGACTGGCTCCTGTGACAAAAGTCAATTGAAAAATTGGCTTTTGTCAAAAGGGATGGGGGCCACAAACTGCTAGAATTGAAATGCAAGCAATTTATAGCCACCTTTAAGTAACACAGTGATGCGCTACTTTTTTCCACCGAAATGCACGGTATTGTGGTACCACGTGTTGCGCTGCACTACGATGCAGGCTGCCAGGAGGTGTGGGGGTTATTGAAGGTTCCTCCTTCACACCATACAGTGTTGTAACCAATGGAGATAAGACAGGTGCTCAAAGTGACCACAACGGATAGCGCTGTGTAGAACTTCAGAGATGTGCAGATAAGTCACCAGCACTCAAAAAAAACAAAGAAAGTATAATTTATTGCAAATAAAGTCACATATCACAGTCACTGTGTCACCTTGAGGAAGGGATCTTGTGTGGCCCTGAAACATTGGCAATTTTGACCTATTTGACATTATTTGCAATAAAGGATGTGTATTGGGGGTGCCGCTAAATGAATGGCAGCACAATGTAGCTAGGGCACGGTATCACATGCTGAGTGTGCTCTGTGATAGCGTGTGCTGAACACATGCAGGTGTGAACCAGCCCTAAAAACAAAACATAATAAATAAAAGTTAACTCACTTGCACACAAGTGCATCTTAAAAAAAAATACCTTTCTAGCAAGCTGACTTTCTAGCAACCTGGGTTTTATGCCTGCAGAATACGTATTTCCATGTGTAAATCAATCCGCAAATCTTTGCTAAAGTAAAATGAGTATAAAAACAGCAAACACTATAACATAACAATCTCAACCATTAATCAATAAAAATGCTTTTGAAGGTCACAGTCAGGTTATCGTAAATTAAGTCACTAAAGTAAACAGCCTGTAAACTCTGACTGCTGGTTGAAATATTTACACTGTAAACTGATCCATCCTGTGACTGAATAAACTCAATAAACTGACAGTCTCAGATAACTACAGGCTTGTGGGCAGATGAAAGTAATCTGAAAGTAGTTACCCAGTACATACACACACAGGGATTTACATAATAATAAAGAGAAAACAAGGGGGAAAAAAACATAAATATTATTGTCCCTAGGTAAATGCCCCAGGGTAGATCAACAATTGGTATTTTGTTGTTTAAAATTTAGTTCAAAGCTGAACAAAAGCACATTCAATACAGCGACAAAAAGTCAAATATTTTAAAAAGAATGGAATAACTGTGTAACCCCTTCCTGACTGGAGATGTACACTGTATGTCCCTGTCACAAAGTGCCCAAATAACTGATCACGTACACTGTGCATGATCAGCTATTTCGAGCTGTCAAAAGCCGGTAACCAGTGAGATCAGCGGTTATCGTTCATTAATGGATGCCTCGGTATTGAGACATTCATTAATAAAACAATTAAAGTGACATCAAAGTCAAAGATTCTTTTCTCTTCCCCAATGTGAATTAAAGCACTTACCTTAAATTATGTTTCTTAATCTGATCTTCCTCTTCTTTCCTGTTGTTTTCATATGTCCCTCCAGCGCTGCTGCGGATCTCCGATCCAGCACTGACTCCTCTGTCCTTGCTGGCACTTCCTGTCCCACGGTGTCTGCATGCGGGTGCACACATCCATATACTTACCTTGTGTCTCTCCTCGTCTCCTGGGCCGAAAATGTGAACTGCGCATGCACCCTCCCCAAGATGCTTTGCGGCCGCCCGAGAATTTTAAGATTTTCGGACGGGAGCGCACAGGGAAGACACAGGTAACTTTTTGCATATATCTACTGCTCGCTAGCAGTAGATATATGCAAAAACACAGGAGGGTTTAATAACCCTTTAAGCTTTGACAGATACCTGATCGCTTGTAGCAATCAGGTATCTCACTGTAATAGCTGTGCAGTTTCTGTTTGACCCAAAACATACCGCCAAGGCAACAAAGCAGTGGCTCAAGAAGAAGCACATTAAGGTTATGGAGTGGCCTAGCCAGTTTTCAGACCTTAATCCTATAGAAAATGTATGGAGGGAGCTGAAACTTTGAGTTGCCAAGTGACTGCCAAGAAACCTTAAAGGGTTATTAAACCCTCACATGTTTTTGCATATATCTACTGCTAGCTAGATATATATATACAAAACGATTTTTTTTAAAACAACTTTTTCAAAGGGTTAATATTTACCTTTGTCTCCGCCGTGCGCTCCCATCCGAACATCTGAAAATTTCTCAGGCGGCCGCAAAGCATCTTGGGATGGGCACATGCGCAGTTCAGATGTTCGGCTGGGAGGCGAGGAAAGATACAAGGTAAGTACATGGAGCAGCGTACACCCGCACAGACTCCGTGGGATATGAGAGAAGAGGAGGACAGAGGAGTCAGCACTGGATCGGAGACCCTCACCAGTGCTGGAGGGACAGCTAAAAAGTACACTAAAGAAGATGATCGGATTAAGAGGCATGATTTAAGGCAAGTCCTTACACTTGGAAGAAACTATTATAAATTCCATCAAGGTAGGCAAAGCTAGCCATTCACTGCTCAAATTTTGGCCTATTCCTCCTATTGACTTTTGTCGCCAATCCAAAAATGATCAGGACGAACAGCGCCGACATCTAATCAGAGGCAGCAATGGCTGCTGAATACAATAGCCTTTAGTGTAATTTCCCCCATTCATGCTGTTTCTAAGGATATATTGCCAGCTTTAGTCTAATATTCTCTGTAACGTCAGAAAAGTGAGTCAAAGTTTATAAATATTTAAAATAAAATAGGAAATTGTGCATACAGTGGTGTTTCACAACATAAACATTTCAGATGGTTTGTTTGTCTGTTACAACATTTTTTGGAGATTCCATACAAAAAAAGACTGTGCATATAAACAGCACGTAACATGAAGCTATGCTAAAGCTGACCTATACTCAGCTGTTAAAACAAACTTAGCAGCAGATATATTTTTTCAGAAGGCATCTTTCTTCAGACATTATTAAGGTGCCTGTGGCTGCATTCATTACCGCCTGACACAGATCAGCCCTTTGCTGCTGCCCCTCACCTTGCTACAAAGTTACAATGTTGCAGTGTGATCACTTGTGGAAAGAAGACTGACAGTTCCTCCTTCCTGCAGCAGGCTGATGACATCATCTGCCCAGACAAAGTCACAGATTGGAATTCAAGGGCAGCTTTTTAATGATACAAAATGGAGCTTTTCTGAAAACGGATAGTGTATATTGTGACAGGGCTGTATTTTAGCAGACTCATAAGGTTTATGACAAGTCCACTTTAACATAAAGCTATCTTTTCTGGGATGGACACATAAAGAGTAATGATGTCTACCAAGGACGAGGATTAACCAATCTAAACATTGCTCCTCCCAATTAACAGAGATCACATGACATATAGCCAGCACTAAAGAGGAACTGGAGAGACATTTTCTCCAGGAGCATTTAGTATTTCAGCCATTTGTTTACTCTTCATCCATCCCAACATGAACTGTTAACAAACTTTATGTTAACCGTGAACAGATAACTGTGTTTTTCAAACATTACCTTATTTAATGCACCCAGGGGCAGGAGTAGACTAAATGTTATCCCTTACCTCTGTCTGTTATTTTTCCATTCTCATATGCCCAGGTCATTGTATACACGTATGTTTTTATTTTCAGCCTGATTGCAGTTTGCACTGATCTGCATTTTGCGATGTACAGTGTACTGTTCAGACTAAATCGAGGAAGGCATCAGGTGTCCTTCCAGACATGCATTTCTCTTAAAACAGTTAAAGTAGAGTAAATAAGACCATTACAGACAATCCCAAAGATAATAGATACAGTCACCACTCCTCATATACAGAAAACTTTGCAAGAGATCACTAGGTCAGTGGTTTTAAGGTGCCACTAAGTTGTACCTGGACAGATTCCAAATTGTATCATAAAAAATATGACTTTTGTTTAGCTGAATATAAAAACTAGAGATGCACAGATACTTTTCGAGTACCAGTGCAGATACAGGGTTGCAGCGGTTGCAGGTGGGACCTGGCTCTGGCGCTCCACCACTGTCCTGAAATCATTAGTCTGTATTGATTTAGAAAAACTGTCACATGACAATAAACAAAAATGTATCAGTACTCGTACTTGTAAGTACTCGGCAAGTACAAGTACTCGTAAAACTGGTATCGGTGCATCTCTTTATTTATATTTATAAAAACAAAATTGTACATTAAAACAGAGATGTACAAATCCCAGGAGCTCCGTGTGCTCCTTACAAATGACAGCTGCCTCCTACTTTTTGAATTTTTCTCTAGTCTAGCCTTGGAGCTTAAAAGTATCGGTACATGTACTCGTACTTGCACCGAGTACTGCACTTGGTATCTGTGCAACCCTAATAAAAACATATAAAAAATGCATATTCCCAGTCAAAATGTAGAGACATGGTAAATTGAGACATTGCAGACTTACTTATTACACTTTAACTATCCACTGGCCAAAATGTTTATAGTCTGAAGCTCTAAGCTTCCAAGGTTAAAGATAATCCAAAGCGGAGTGGCGTTAGCTTTTTTTTTACATGTTTTTTAGTGCCACAAAAATCTTGATAAATAACAATGATGTAGAGGAACATCAAATTCTCCACAAGGAGTTATAAAGCTCTCATATGCAAAGATGTCAAAACAGTCAGAGATTTTGAAGTTCATAAAAAGAGAAGACTATTGCATGAAAGCACACTCCCAGTCCACATTCATATGTGGAATCCAATGTCACCAATGGCAGAGTGTACATGATGCTCAATATCCAAAAGGGAGAACACATGGTAACCCAGATCACACAGTTAGCATTCCACAATCACATGGAATGAGGGAAGCTTCAGGACTTTGCTAAACATATGCAGGGGCTGCCTTCTTCCAACACTTCTACTGTAGCTTAATATTAACATTATGGTATAATTCTGCTAAAAATTAAAATATTACCTATTTCTCCAGGAACGTGCTTGCCATAGAATTGGAAACATACAGTAATATTGACACAGCTCACATGTTGTGTACCATCATGACACTGTGGTGCAGTAATATTAATGGACGATGGCAGCAATATGGAGACCTTCACAGTAATGACTGGTCTTGTCCTATGGAAAAAAAATTTTTTATTTGTCAACAATTCTGGAATTAGGTTAATATAACATATGTAACAAACATTCTCTATTTAATCTACTGCAAAAATACTAAAATTTTTGAAACATAAGGCTAGTAACAAACTTTAGATGGCAGATACATTTGATACTGGCAAATAAGAATGGGCATTTATATACATCTGCCCACATGCATACAGATTGGACTCTAAGACTTCTCATTCTCTACATCAAGCAGCTAATCTGCATTATACTGTAGTTACCCATTCACCTCAATGTATAAATTACCAGCTGCCTACACTATTTGTGGGACATAGTGGACAATGGGAGTTATCATTCAGGAGACACATATATGCACCAATGCAACTTCAAGTTACACCAAATTAACCCCTATATCCCCAAATATTTAATATTTACAGTAAATGCATAAAATGTGCACCCCTGGTCAAATTACATGCTTTGAGTTTTATCAGTCATAGTCAGTAAAAGAACTGAAGATGAAAAGAGACTGGATATTCCAACAGGTCAATGATCCAAAACATACCTTAAAATCAATTACTTCCCTCAAGAAATTAAAAAAGGATTAGGACTTTTTAAAAATAAAGAGCATAAAATACAAGATTTTTTTTACTTGATGCATGACATGGAAGAGTGAGAAAATGTTCCCATAGAATATTTGGTGGCTGTGTTACGAAAGGAAGTGTTTAATAGGAACTAAAACCTTTGTACATGGCATATTTTATGTTTATTTTTTTAATCTATTAAATTAAGCAAATACATTAAAAATCTGCATTTACATTTGAAAAAAAAACATGTGTAAAAGAGAACTAAAGCCAAACCTCTTTTTCTTTTTGTATTTCTGTGACCCAAAGTCAGCATATAGCAGGCTACTGCCCACTTTTTGCTTACAGTGCAGAGTTGCGCTGCAGCAGGGAAAGATCACTACAATATTGTCAGGATCCACCCTGTTGCTTCTAAAGAGGCAGAGCCAGCTATGGGAGGGGAAATCCCTATGGGGAGCGGTGACTAACAGTCACCACTCTCTGCATGGAGAAGACCGTGATCACTCATCTCTCATTCCATAGAGCCGGCATGTGACAACTGCAGCGTCACATGCCAACTCTAAGTATTGGGAAAAATTTAATTTACTCTCCCAACAGGGAAAAAATCAGCTAATTTAAAATTGGGTACAGTGGGGTAGAGTTAGATTTAGGTTTAGAGTTAGGTTTTGATTGCTGTCTTTGCTCCCATCAGTTAGACAGAAAGGGAAAATAAATATTTCCAACAGGTAGACAGAAAGGGAGGATAAGTATTTCCAACAAGATACAACAGCTATATACAGTATACTGTATGTATTTATTTTTACTAAAATGTGACAGGTTGGAACCTTCCTAAACTCTTTGCTGATCCATGTATACCTTTTGGAGGTTTCCCCTAACTTCTTGTAACAAAGATCTAAGCCTTTCCCACTCTATCCAAAAGTTAAACAATGGCTGGCATTCAACTTGTTCTTTTTGGAGTCTGAGTTAACTGTTTGTGTTGAGAAAATGAACAAATATGCCAATTATCTAGGGGTGACCAACCTGTTGCATAAAACAGTTACATTTAGTGAAGAATTCAAGCATTTGTTTAAATTTCCCATAGAACGACCTTGTGCATTTTCTTTTTGACAAGGAGGGGTTAAGGGTTGGCAATCCAGTGACAGATAGCTTGGCCATCTTCCAAGTGTTCTCACCCCTGAGAATATAGAGGCTTAATGAAACTCAATTTCAGTAATTGTTTGCTTGTAAAGCATAGGCAGGAAAATTGCAGAAATTACAAAAGTCAGATTTGCTACAGTAATCTCGAGAGTACAGCTAATGCAATTCATGGCCTCTCTACAAACGTTTAACTCCCTAGGTTCGAAAATGTAAAGAAAATCAAATTGAGCATGTCTGATGGGCAAAGCTCAAAGGATAGTTCAAAAGAGGAATAAATAATTATCTGGTGTGTTCAAACACAAAGGGATTCATAGTTTCTGTAAACAAAGAGACCGTAAAGCCATGGGTTTCCCTTTTTTACTAAATGGATTCTGGTAAGTTGGAAAAATCTTACATTATTTATCAGAAGAGGCATGCAACCCATGCACTTTTTTGTGTACTTTTAATGGAAACTGTTATTTGGATCTTAAGAGTGACTGTCACTAAACAGAAAAAGGAGTTGCAGTACAGGAAGTGCCAAAATTTGACATTCTACTTTAACAGGATAGTTTTGGAGCCTATTGCAGTTATGTTCAGTTATTGAAATAACTGTGAATTCATGCATATGCATAAGCTGTGCATCCTCTTTTAAAAGAAGGACTGCTCTTTCCTGTTATAGCCAAGGCTCTCAAGCAGCCCTGGATGCTGCTATTACTTGATGAATAAATGATAACTGTAAATGTTGTTTTAATTTAGGAAAACTCTATTCATTCCAAAACTGAATGTTAAAATCAAAACAGAATTTCGAATGACATTCATCAAATCTCTGATGGCATTTGCAAATGTTTTGATGATATTTTTCATATCAATGTTTGCATGTAAATCAACCAGTATATGGCCAGCTTAAGGAAGATTCACACCTAATCTATCAATAATTGGGCATGGGCTGCCTTGAACTTATCTAATTGTAATCTGCCTTGATATTTTTTGAGCAGGCTGGTAAACCAATGCTTGCTGGGAAGGGGAGGGGTGGGGGGTAATGCCTCTAAATAGTCCAGAATTTCAGGAGAGTTTCTGAAAAACTAGGTAATGGAGATGTGGCTATAAGCATGCATGGCCACTTTTAATAGAGATCTGGCCAGGCAGCTCAAAACATTGCATATAAAGCTATATTATGAGTGCTCAAATGTAGGTTTTATTACTCAAATCCTATAGATAATTCTGTGCAGTACAAAAAACAATATTCATTTATATATGCAGTACTGGGTATTTCACTTTGTTTCAAGAGCTGCCGAGAGCAATGGGAAGCATATATGTGAACCTGCTGAGTCAGATTCAGGCAAAAAATCAAGAGAAAATAGTCTAAGGCAAGAGGTTCTCCTTTTACCAAACAATCTCTGGAGAATCCAAGTAACCCATTTGTTATTCTGTTGGGAAATGCTTTACTATGACTTTTAATTATAATCTTTGTGGTCTTGTCACACGAGAAAGAAAGCAATAAAAACAAGAAACATGAAACATGTAAATATGATGACCTTCCTGTATGAAGGTTCTACTATTTGCCCATTAAAGATGTTAACCAATGCAAAATGCAACTAGACCAGTTTCTGATAAATTATGCTTACTGCATTGACATCTTCTAATCATCCCACATTAGAAATATGGACATATTTGCTTGCAGTTCTACATTCAGCTTCCACAAAAGGCATATGGAGGTACAAATTCGATTATTTAGGTTGGTTTCCAATTCTACATTTTCTTGTGCTAACTTAACCTTGGTTTGCACTGCATCTGATTTTGTAGCAGTATCCGACAATTAAATTTGTGAAAGCACATGGAAAATCATAAGATGCACCATGGGGAATAGTTTTGAGGCCAAAAGTAATCTTTAATCAGTGTCGAACCCTATAGAACAACTTGAATGCATAATGTAAGAGTACATTCTTCTATGACAGCAGCTAATAATGAGCTCATTCTTATGTTTGCTGGTGGCATGTGAAATTATAACCAGTAAAATGTTACAAAGGAGGCCTAACAATTAGATGAGGATCTAATGTAGATAGAGGTGAAATATTTTCACTGATGACAGTTTCCAGGATTCTAGCTATTTTATCTATATAACTAAACAGAAAGAGTACATTTTACATAGCAACCAAATATAATCCAGCTGGTATGATTTAGATAATGAAGGGATGCTTCCATTTCTTATATATGATGTCCAGAGTGGCTTACCATTAAGGTGCCAGTCCACCAAAAAGTGACATTTTAGTTATAGGTGGGGCCCGGTCAATCAAAAATGGAAGATCCCACACTGAGGCTGATTTACTAGAGGATTTGAGAATATTTGCACAACAAATTGTGAGTATAGTCACTTCAGTTATTCAATAATATGCAAATAAAATTAGTAAACGTGGATTTTCTTTTGATAGGATAACTGACATTAATCTTCACCCATTGTACAAACATTCTCAAATCCTTTAGTAAATCAGCCTGATTTAATGTGTCCGCTGTCCATATCCATTACTGATTTTACTAAGAAGCTCCCCATGTGATAGAATTGGGCAGGTGACAGATATTTTTTATAGATACATCAGGGGTCTATTAGACTACTAATTTCTCCCCTGCCCTCTACTCCAGGCAAACAAGCACAGGCCATTTACCTGGCTTTGAAGCTGTGAGTTTGTGAGCTCTGAATCGGGAAATGCTCAGAACTGAGTGCTCTGAGGTTAACACTCTGCAGAGGACATTGGGTAGTGTTACTCAGTGTTTTCCCACTCGCCATCCTGACACTGTTTGTCATAGTCCTGGGTACCCAGGAGAAGGAGAGCCCAGGAACCAGGGGAAACCTTCTGCACAAAATAGAAAGTTCACAGCTGCTACAGCCATGGGCTTTTTTTTTTTTTAAGCGTGGACATACTAGACAAGTCTAAAGTGATCGAGGGGTTAAAGTGTATGTAAAGGCAAATTTTCTTTGTGTTTAGTTCTGGATTGAGCCGGGAAGGGTTAGACCCTCTGTCAAGTCTTTATCTGTATCCCTGCCATGGAAATGTATCCTCTATTTGTCTGGTGACTAGAAAATAAGACAGAAAATAAGGAGAAATCTGAAAATTTTAAAATGTCATCAGCATGACAGATGAGGGAAAATCCTCTAATGGGGATGACTGTTCCTGAAACAACTCAGGAATGGCATGAAATGGAATAGAATTTTGGGTGAAATTGGAGACCTTGTCTCTCATTTCCTGTTAGGTCCCCAAGACAGGAAGTAAAGGGAAATCTCCCCAGCTGGACACAAGCAGCAAAAATAACCTAAACGAGGTTTTAACTCTTTCCCGCTCTCCAAAACAAAAAAAAACAAAAAAAGTTTGGCTTTACATACACCTTGACTGCTGCCAAGAAGAGTCAGTTCCCCAGATTGTCTGTGATGACAGGACTTTGTAAATTTCAGGCCTGTTTGAAGAGAATTACAAAGTCTTTGACAGGTAAACTAGCTAAACTAGCAGTATTTCAAGTGAGTATTTAGCTGTTAGTTCAAATTTAACAGATCAGTAGTGTCGATGCAGCCTTCTTGATTGATGCAATTATAATGTTATGTATTTTGTAAGTTTATAAAAAAAATAAGCATATGAAAGCCATATTTTCTGAAAGATTTTTTTTAACATATGACCTATGCATATGCCCGCTCATGAGTTACTCCCACTGTGTCAATCCACAGCCATTTTAAATTAGTTTTTTTCTTTTTTTATGGATATGTTTATAAAATGATGTACAGCAAAATGTTCCTTACCTTAGCAGTACAACACTGTCTGACATAAAAGCCCCAATGGTCACATCTAAAAGAAGAGAAAATAAGCAATAAAAAAAGTCCAATAGTAGCACATAAATTATACTTGACCTCAGAATGAAACTACGTGTCTCATTACCACATTTAACCTATACACTGCCATAGATTTATGACAGGGGTAGAAGCCAATCAAAGCACCTTAAATCATTCTACATTCTGTACACGATGTATGTATGTATATGATGCTAAACATTATCTAAATACATATTTGTTAACACCAGTTATTTAATCCTGCTACTGTACAACATGTAATAATAAACACAAACTACCCTGGTTTTGGTCACTAAGCATGCAGTTCCTATACTAACAACCCAAGACATATTTCAGTTATAGGTCTGGGGTGTGTTGATGGCCATGTGCACTGTTACCAGCCATACACCAGTAGGATTTAGTTCTAAAATGTTTGTTTATGGAACATGCATTCGATTTTCTAAAGGTTAGTAAGGTCTATTCAACGTTTGTTTTTAACTGTAGTGACAAGGAAAATTGCAGAAGCAGGATGGAAAATTTCTCATTTCTTATTTGAACAAATTAAATTGTGATTTTCGTTTGGTTAAAATCGTACATATTGTAATGTGAGTGTGCTAGGTGCAAAAGTACCCTACTTAATACACCTCAAATATCCGGTCTGGGCAAAATCTTTTAAGAGCTTTGGAACAAAATTAGGTGACTCAATCAGGGCATCATCAAATGCTCTGACAAACAATTTGGAACGAACATTCAAACCAAATACTAAAAATATATGGTTTTGATTTCCACTGTCCTTCTGCAGCAGCTAGAAGATTTTGAGAAGCAATTAATAAAATTAGTCACGTGACTCACTTGTCATTTGTCCTAAAAAAATTGCTAAACAAGTTGCTACATTAAACAAACTTTTAGTGGAACCTTTTGCAAGCAGAAGGTAGAAAATATGGTTGTGGGAAAAGTTTTTTGTTAGAAGAGGCTTTGTATGTTTCTTCTGCCAAAGAAAATCCCTCCCCCTTCTGCTAGGAGTGGTGTTTGTACATTGCCTAGATGTGAATCTGGCTTTAGGCAGAGCAAAGGTAAAGACTTAATGGAAGAGGTCTATGGTGTAAAGTTTCATCTTTGTAAATCCTGCCTAGTCCACTAGCTAGTGACTAGCTTTCTCCTGGTTTGGAGTGGGGAAGGATTATGAATAATTAAAGATACTCTGCGTACTTTAGTGCATATTAACACTGCGTTAGTAAATACCTGTTCTTAAAACAGACACCAGTTTTGAATAAATAATGTATGATAAGCTGTTTTGCGCTATTGTAATAGGGTTGCTAACTAATCATTTATTCTTTGTTCAGGTCAGCAAGTCAGAAGGAGCATTCTTGTGTGGCACAGCTTATAAATAACAGGGAGTAATGGAAAGTTTCCAGGCTCTCTTAATAGCAGAGAGTAGATGCCTTTGTGACATCTGTATATAGCACTGCTTAAATGCTTTACACTTGGTCAAATTAATGGAATGTCAAATAACTGCACAACAGAAGTATTAAAAATGTAAAAGAACGTGGTGGTGATACATTACAACCTTTGACAACATCATTCTAATTAGCTTTGATGTGCAATGCTGAAAAATACAATTAGTAACACAGGACAACCCCATTAGTATCTGTCCACCTATAATGAAATAAATGTCATTGCTAATAAAATAACATCAGAAGGCTATTGTATTTGTATTTGTTTCTTGACATGATTAGTCTTTATTTAAGTCTCTGTTTCTTTAAACCAAACTACAAAAGTGGAAATTGCAATGTCCATATTTTAAATCCTTATTCTTACTTTAAGCAGATGGGAAGTCTCCACAAAGTTTCCTAACATAAAATACCACTGAGATTTTCATTATTACTACTATTATTACCACCCATGATTTATAAAAAGAAATGAGCAAATACCTTTATTTTAGTCTAGTAATCAAGGTCACATGACCACATATCCTTTTCTCACCATTTATACTGTTGAGGTAACATGCAGGATATTATGACGCTAAGGCCGCAAGGAGTGGCAGTGCAGTTAGTAAACTGCTGGCTGAAAACTCCTCTATTCACAATGGACACAGTGATGTGATGACATCACCACATAGCTGAATGGGAAGAAAGGGTTTTAGGAGGGCTGGCCAAGATCACCTTATATTTATTCACGGCAAGATGACACTGCACAGATGAATTGGGAGTAAGGGATTAGATGCCCAACAATCCTGCAAATTCTAAAGTGGAAATATGCCGTTCTCGGCCCCAGTATGAGGCTACAGTAGGATCAACAGGTACAAACTTAGAAATGGAGGGGGATTACAAATAGTACATTTTCAAGTATGATACGGAAAGCTTAATTTTTATTTTGTGAGGTTTTGCTTTGGCCGTTCTTCTTTAGCCTAGAGGTTATTTTGAAATAAACTGCCATAGCTAATAAACCTGCTTTTGAAATTGAAGATCTATGCATCTAATTTGTATTGACTGTCTGCAAATAACCAATTTTCTAGTAAGGATATTATATAAACATTTCCCATTTGTTGGCGTGTTCCCAACTTACCTGCATAGCCATTCTTGTCCATATCAATACCACCAGAAATTGACTGTCCAAACATTCTTAAAGCTGGGCTAATTGTTCTTCCAGATATCCTCTGATTGACAAAAGCGGGGAGATTTTCCATTGCAGAATAGAGAATTAAAACAAACATCTGATTAGCTGCTGTAAGTAGCAGGCCTTTTATGTGTTTGCTTTATTTTGTATAATTCAAAACTATCTTGTGCAGATTTATGTAATATGTAAGTAAAGTACCATAAATAATACACCTTGTATAGATCTATGCGGTAAGTAAAAATATATAGGAAAATTATTGAGACAGACATATCTTAAATTTAGGTTTAAAGTGTTTGTCAAGTAATAGACATATTCTAGTTTTGGTTTGGAGTGGGGAAGGATTAGAACCCCTGTCAGTTTTCATTACTATCTGGGGCTCTGTTATGGATCTTTCCCCTCGCTTCCTGTTCTGCTTACAACATTTTACGAGACAGGAAGTGAGGGGAAATCTGCAACCGCAAAGCAGACAGAAATAAAAACGGGATTTTTGTGCTCACCTGAAAAACCTTTTCATGCAGTCCTTGAGTGACACAGTTTCCACCCCTCTGTGTTTATGTTCCTGCTCTTGGTACTGCTTGCTATAAATTGCGGAATGCAGGATGCAAGTTTTACCGCTTCTAACAAGTCATCACTACTGAAGCATAAGGCTCGAGACAACTGTTAGACAAAGAGGACTATCCCGGTGGTAGAGAGGAATCAAACCCATTCTGCTATGATTTGACAGATTAGCATCACAGCCAACAAAGGACAGAGGGCACAACTTAACAGAGAGAACTGGGATTTAAGAACTGATTTCAACTGCTAGTCAGCTGCAAAGTCAGCCTGAGGAAAGACCAACCTGGATAGTTACCATGTAAAGACCAGCTCAAGCAGTGATGTAATGAGAATGACTGTGGTCAATTGAAGAAGTAATTGAAAAGTAAATCAAAGAAATTAGTTAGACTTTTCTTAGCAGAGCTGAAGAAAGATGCCCGTTCTCCTAGGACACTTAAAACAGTTGAGTAAAGTAGGGGTTATCCTGGCTTGGCCTACAGATATTGTTACCAATCCTTTTTTGTGTTCAAATCCTCCTGCAGATGGTGATATAACCTGTGTCACTCAATGGACAAGGAAGAATTTTCTTTTATCAAAGTTCGTGAAAGCTAGAACCCCTGGCAGATTTTTTATATCTGGTTGTGTCACTGTTCTTGCCTAGTAAAAAAAAAATTGTCACTAGACAATATGAAGAAAATCTCACCAGATAGCAGTAAAAACTGGACAAGGGTTCTAACCCTTCCCCACGCAATCCAAATCCAAAACAAAAACGTTTGGGTTGATATACACTGTAATCATAGCAAGTATAACATTACCAAAGTATAGGATATGTTCACTTTTGATATTAATTAAGAAAAGTATTTATTATTAATTTTAAAAAATATTTAAAAACTCACTTTATTACATAAGAATAATAGCTGATCAAAAAATATAATTTATTGAAACATTAATATAAACATGATTTTAGAAAATAAATAAAATATGTACCATTGAATATTGAGGAACAATTCCATTTGCATCACCATGATATATGTAAACAGCACCCACAAAGTCGTCTTCCTTTGGAGCTCCAATCGCAACATCTGATTTAAAAAAAAAAATAATTAAGAATATATTGCAGTTTTATTTTTGTTTCTTTAATTGCAATACATAATTATGACATTTAATTCTTGAGCTAATCATAGTAATACATTTTTATATCACTGCAAGACATTTCATTGGCACTGAAGTTATATGGTCTTCCCATGTAAAGTGGCATTTGTCTTTTATGAAGACAATGAGATCAACACTCTCTTCACACTGAGATATCTATTTGTGAAATTGTGTTGATTGAGTCCATGAAAGAAGCCGACAGGAGAGATAAAACAAAAAAAGGCTTTAAGTGTCGAGCTGCTACTTACAGGCTCTCAGGAAAAGATATAAAATGCATATCTAATTTCACTGGCGGAAAGCCGTAACCAAACAGATGCTTCCAAATGGATGGAGGAAGACGGACAAGCAATCTCAAACAAACCTAATGTGGTCATCATCAAACCAACAATTTAGCCATTTTGTGTATGTGATATAACATCTGCTCCATGCCGGTCCATACATAGCAACCCAGCAGAACTTATGTGCAAATCTAGGCTTGTTTCCAGCTTTGACAACATCCATATGATGAAAATAGGAACGATGCACACTGTTTCCACTAAAAACATATTTGCTTTATTCCAAATTAGCACTTGATATATTGATGTAGCATAAGATTGACAAAGCATCACGTTTAGAGAGATTCCACATGCAATTTACGGGTCGAATTCACTATGTATGGAAAGGATATCCAAGGAGTTAAACACATGTTGAAATCCAACGGGAAGACTGCCATAAGCCATGACGGAGGTGATACAATATATGAGGGTATAAATAGTCCCAACAAAGGCTACGAAAGCAACAGTCAGTTCTGATTTCTTCTACTTTGTTTTTAATTGGTCGAAAAACAGAGATTGGCCATGTTTGTTATTTGTGATATTTAAATAAATACTTTTTTTCATTCAACTACAACACTAATGGTCTGTCCCGATCCTTAAATTAACCCATGGACCGCCTATACCTAGTAGGTGGCCCGAATCTCTTTTTGTTTGGTGTGGTATATCTGCTTCACCTGCCACTCACAGTAGATCCTCCAACTGGCTCTTACATCACTGAGATGTACAAGTTGATGAGAGGAACGACTAAAGGCACCGGGGGAAGCAGATATTTCAGCCATCTGACTGGTCAAATACTTGAAGTGGCTAGGAAGAAGCACAGAGGCAGCATTTCAACAAATGAGACCCTGGAAAGGTACGTATGTTGCCTCTTTTATTACAGTCAGGAATACTAGAGTATAATATCATTTTTTTCTATAGGGAGAATATGGAGAAAAATATAAAGATCTTCCTCGGAAATTACTCTGGATAAACGTCGACATATTAAATGTCAAAGATCCAAATGTACTGATTTCTTAACACAGGATTTTTCATCATAAAATAACAATATGTGTACATAAATACTTTCATACTGACCTGGATAACCATCATCATCGATATCCCCAAGGTTAGCTATGATTTCTCCAAAGTGTGCATTGTATGCATTGTCACCATTCAACACAATTTGTTCTTCCATTACTGCCTAGCAAACAGGAAACATAAAATGTGTTAGAATACACAGCAGCAGAGAACCAGTTAATAGATGGATATACCGCTGGATGATTGCTTGGCTTCAAAATCTATTCAGGAAACACCTGAATAGAGATTACACTTCCTAACTAAACAGACACAACAGTGCTTTCAGTATATACAGACACATTTATCTCCACATGGTAGTGACAGTGCTTTGAAACTGATTACAAGAAGAAACATAAATGTGACATTCATACTGACTACAATGGGAACACACAGTATATTATTGCACAGCTTGACTTGTTGGATTCAAAACTAAATGACCTTTGGTAATTCATTTATGATGTTTTTGTGTTAAGACCCACATCCCTCCATCCCACCTCCCTCTAATGCATCCTGCAGGGCTTTCATTTTTCCTTGCCATGTAGAATAAGTTATAATCACCTTGTACCTCCTCCCAACACTGTTTCTAAGTGCAGGGGACTGCTAAACCAGAGCTGCCGATGGTCACTCAACCAGCCTGTCCCCTACCCTAGTCCCCTTGTTCAGATATCACTCCTTTTCTGGATCCTGAAAGGACCCCAACTCTGCATCAGAACTGGACTAGAACGTGTCCATGTGACACAGGCAGTGATGAAGACAACTGTAGAAGGATCCCGCAGGATGTAAGCTAATAAAGAGGGAAGATTGATTACTGTAGAATCACATGAGCATGACAATGGCAAGTTAAAAGGGCATTTAGGTAGGGTTTTTCTTTTTTTTTTTTTGTGGGTTTAAGTGTTTCTTACTTGTCTTGCCTAAATAATTGTACAGCGCTGCAAAATATGTTGGCGCTATATAAATAATTGCAATTGTAATTGTAAAGCAGGTTCAAAAGAGGTCCCCATCATCTTAATTGATAGTTGACATTGCCTCTCTGTGTGCAGCTGAGAGCCAGCCGCCCCTGTGCCCTTCCTGACCTGTAGCTCCAGGCAGTGCTGCGGGAGTGGTAAAGGAGACAATCCATGTGGAGAGCAGTGACTGACCGTCATTGTTGCTCTGCTGGGAGCAGAGATGAAGAGCTGATCAGCGATCAAGTGATTGGTCAGCTCTCTGTCTTAGAGCCATCCCACACTGGTTCTAAGCATTGGGTAGAGTATGTTTAACTCACCCCAAACTTCTCCTTTAAGAGACCAAAATCTGAAAAGTTCATTCAATATTTAGCATACTTGACTTTAGTCAAGTATATATCGTTTTGAATAGAGTAGAGAGGTTAGAAAACCTGTCAGGTTTTTATTGCTGTGTGTGTTTGTCCTAGTAATCACTGTTACTAGGACAGGAAGGAAGGGAAATTTAAACATTCTGAGTTGTCACCAAAACAGGAATAGAGAGGAAATCTTATGGTGACAACTGTCTAAGGCCCTGTTCACGCTATTGCATTGCGGGCAAACATGCGTTCCTGTGCGTACCACTTAGTACTTGCAGTGGTGTGATGTGGTGCTATTCATTCAGACTGTCACCCCAACTGTGAATTCATCTATATTCTGAAGGGGACCTCAGCACACCTTGCCGATGGGGACGTGCTGCAATGCACTGCAAGGTGCTAAAGAAACTCCATGCCAAAGAAAAGGCACAGGTCCAATTCAGGCTGCCTAACAACGGTTGTTAACGCACATAGATTGACACAAGACACCTCAACAGTTACATATGAACATAGGCTAAGCAGGGAGTTCAACTTTGGAGTGATCTCCTCTCACTTCTTGTTTTCTGTTTTGAGACAGGAAGTGAAAAAAAATCTCTCCAATGGCACCCAGGTGGCAAAACAATGTCAGGGGTTTTAACTCTGTCAAAAACTTTAACTACATTTTGGTTTTAGACATAATTTAACTACCAGGTTAGAAATGTCTGCCTGGAAAAATAGTCTGTATCTTTCTTCAAACAACCAATCAGCTTCATTGTAGCTGTTGGATGCCCTAGAAAAAAAGAAAGTATAAAGCTAATTGGTTGATTGGCAGGAATCAAAGCCTGCTCTTCAGTAAGACACTTTCTGCATGAAGACATACTTTTTTGGTTTAAATATTGCAGTGCATATGTACTATATTTATCATGTGTCACACATACAGTTGCTACAATTCATACAGGGGACAACTTCTTGCAGCTAGTCAGATTTTGTCTTTCATCCTCTTGCATTTGTTATTACTATCTGTGCCGATAGGTAAGGTGGGTATGAGAGCTGCAGCTGCAACAGTAAAGCGATCCTGATGTTTATCCACCCTTTTCTGTCCTTTTGTCCATTCATGGAACTGTTTGGTAACAATTGCTAACGTTAGTCATACCCTTAGTGATTTGTAATCAATCTGGGTACAATCGATCACAAACAAGCAAATCATTAAAAATTATTGTGTAATCTATCAATTTAGTTGCACTGAACAATTTAGTTAATTTTCATATCGGATACATATGTAGCCACCCTAAAAGTGATTGCTAAAAGATTGAATAATAAAAATGTGAACATCAGTTTTGAGATACTAAAAACTGATTAGTGTAAATGACTTACTTGAGCAGTTAGCTAAATATCTTCTGAATCCAGTTGGCATACAGGTCCCAAGGACGTTTAGGATTTGAGAATTTTTTAAATTCTAATGAAATCCCGTATGAAGGAAACACCAACAACTACTGAGACTCTGCCAAATGTAATACTAAATTACAAAGTCTCTAGGAAATGACTACATGTGTGCAAATCAAATAGATTTATGTCAAAAGAAGTCAACAGCAAGGAAATGAGTGTGTAGAAGATACAGTATGTCTGGAGAATGTGAAGTCCCGCTGAGGCACTTTGAAAGTGTCAGTAAAATAATTAACACACATTCTATTAGTGACACCACAGCTCCTGCTTTTCATACATAAATAATTTTTAGCATTAGCTATATATATATCTAAATAGTCATTCTAGAAAAAAAAACACAAAACCAAGGCAATAGTGAAGAAATGAGTTGAAATTGTGACGTTTCCGCACTGTGGGACCAAACAAAATTACTAATCCTTTGCAAGGTAAAACAGTAAACATATACCCACTATAGCATATTGTTCTTTGTTTGGAGTTCCACTTCAATACATTTTGCTTTACACTGCATGATTATGCACAATGCATAATTCCTGTTTTACACTGGCATAGCACGATCTTTCAGTGTACTACTAAGACACTTTGGAGTGGATTTATTATAGGAAAATAAGCTGTTCATTTTGCAAATGGATTTTCTCTTAGCTTAGTGAATGTGGTAAAAATTTACTTAGCAACAAATACCCAATTAAACACATGAAAAATAAAAAAACGTTATATTTGGATGATGAAAGTCAGCAGAGCTTCACCCCATTCACTAAGCTAAGGGAAATGCCCTTGCAAAGAGAACAGTCCATTACCTTTTAGTAAATTAAACCCTTTATTTTATGACAGTTTTTATTTTATGACATAAGGCATACTTACATTTCCTCTGTTGATGTAAACAGTCACTTGTCCTTCATCCATCACCTCTGAGAACATGGGTGCCCCCACCAAGAGGTCTGATAGGCCATCAGCATTGAGATCAACTGCACATAAGGAGGAGCCAAAGTAAGAGCCCATCTGCAACCAAGTTGAGCCATAACAAAGCATTCAGTATTTCCGCCCATAAAAACAAGTTATTGTGCATTAAGTTCAGTTGACATCTTTTAGAAAATGTAACTCTGTTATGTTTTAATGTACACTGTAAGTGAATTCTGCATTTTGAGAGTTCTATTAAATAATATATAAGGTAAAAGTAAGGTATTAGAAATGCCCTTATTATGACATAGTAGAACGCAAGCCAAAACAGCTTTTCCTTACTTTTGGATGGAGTTAAGAAGGTCATTGCTGTCATTGACCTTACTTAACTCCTCATTTTCTGTATTGACATAACCCTCCCTCGGTCTTCTAGATACAGTGGTCTTGATAAACTATTGATGGTGCGGCACCTATTTTGTAGAGGGAACACTGATTTATGAAATGCGCCAAATATTTGCTCAAGTTGAAGGGTATGAACAGTAAGATGTAGTATTGAGATGGCACAAGACAGTCAAGATCATGGTTTATGCACCTAATAAACTTTACACGGTATGGCATAAAAGTTTATTTTAAATGCAATTCGCCACAATCAGATGTGCTGTGCAAGACTTCCCATTCCTCTAAAGCGCCAATCATAGTCTATCATGCCCAGCGCTTTTAATGCTATCTTTGTCCATGTTGGAGAGATTTCCCCTCACTTCCTGTCCAAGTGACATGAAAGGACATGCAGGGCAGTCCACAAAACACCAATTAAAGTTACACCCATTCCCTACTTTATCCAAAACAACAGAAAAGAAGCACTACAGAGCAAGATGTTACATCTTGTGATATTTTATTTACTGTTTTTTATTTATTTATTATTTCCTTAGTATTTTATCTTATGTGTATTCAGACTGCCTAAAGTACTATCAATTAGAGAAAACTCTGCACACACATATGTATGCTGGATTTTGGTTTACTTTCGGTAGAACTCTAAATAATTTTTTTAACTAAAGATCATAATATGGGTATTTTCAAGGAAGAATTACATTAAGCACTATTTGCATTCACAATAGTATGGTAGCAATATAGTTGTTATCATTTTCACCTCTACCCATTAGAAAATAGTAGAGGTTTGAATTTTTGTACTTGTATGCTCCTTTGGCAGGTCCATGTTAAACAGGTCTGAACCAGAAAAAAAAATTAAACTTCTACTTTTCTGCTGTGTGTAAACTGTATTATCACATTAGCACAGAATTATGCAGTAGCATTCAAGAAAATCCTTTTAGATCCTTCCTTGAATATCCTTGTGATGCGCAAACACCCCAGATACATTCAATTTGGTATTACAAAAGATACATACAATTGGTTTAAATTTTTATAGTTAACCAAAGACTTAATACTAAGTTAACAACAGTGAATTATGTTAAGATGATTGCCGAAAAGCCAAGTTTTGACCCATCAGTACTGAAATTTGTCAGCATTCAGGCTAGGTTCACCACTAGGCGATTGTGCTGGTGAGCTGTTTTCGTGCGGTTTTTTTTTGCGATTTTGCTTTGAAAACCGTGCAGTTGTTGCATGGTTTTCAGTGCATGGAGATGTATATGGGACCCAAACCGCATGACAACCGCCCGAAAATAGCTCCTGCACCTCTTTGGGCGACAGGCGATTTCTACCGCGTGACAAATCGCACAGGTGTGAACAGCTTCCATAGACTTGAATGCAAATCTCTGTTTTGTGCAATATCGCGCGGCTAAATCAGCAATGGTCTGAACAATGCGCATTAAAGTGCATTGTATTTTGTGTTTAGAGCGGCTCCATACATCCGTACAGGCAAATACGCGCGGAGAGCCGATCAGGTGTGAATGGAGCCTTATAGTGTGGAGTTCAGCTGTAAGTGAGAACAATGCTACTTGCTACATCCATAGATTGTTTAAGGTAGCTACATTATATAACAGCCTTCCTTAGCCCTTCTTAACACAGAGGAAGCCTTGATATAACTTTCAGGTCTCAGGGTACCCCTGACAATAATTACAAGATCTACAATTCATTGTACATTGTGGTGATCAGTGGGAAGAATGCCCTGCTCACAGATAGCTAAAAAGCTCATTGGTGTCAGTGGTTACTTATCTGAGAGGCAGAAATTGCTCACTGCTCAAGGAACGCCTAGTAACTTCTGGAACCCTAGTTGGGAAAGGCTGTACTCGATTGTACTCACTTTTTATATGACTTTGTTATCAGAAGTGTCTCAAATCCATGTCAATCTCAATATCCATTTATATATTTATTGGATCAGCCAAAATGTGCTTCACTTTGCATTGAGCTGCAAAGTTCAAAGCAAATGTTCTCACCCATAAAGCTATAGGTAGAGGCAATCCTCTGATATGTAGCTTTTATAGTGGCAAGTAAATTTCTTTCTGCCTTGAACAACATAAAGAAAAGAAAAGAAAATAACTAGTGTGAGACAAACGAATTTGATTCTGAACTACTATCTGACAACAGCCACAGATTGCTTAATGTAGTGCTAAATAACTAGTGGATTAATTTACTTTAGATTTTGTCTGTAAGAGATTCATCCAAATTACCTCTTCTACTTTCTTGTGTAAGTATGTCTGTAGTCAATCATATACATTGTTATATAATTCAAACATATTAGCAATGAGGGAATCTGTGCTAACAATCATTACAGACTACCATGAATGGGAACACTTATTACTAGGAAAAGCTCACAATGCAATGATTGTTTGATATAACGCCATGATTACTTCTTCATTCTGTGTTGTGCTGCATGTACTAGATGTTGCACAGCTAATTACTAAAACATAAAATGCTCTCTTCACCTTAAGTTTAGTTTAAGTTTTACTGTACATGTTATAGTTAGCCAATAGCTAATTTGCAGAGCTGAATATGGATGATTTACTAGTTAGTCCAGTGAAAATGTATTCACTTTAAACACTAAATTACACGCAGAGAAAGCTAACAAATAGGAACAGATGTTTAAAGTCTATTTAAGACCTGAGAAATAATTGCTTTTTATTTTAAAGTACCCACAAAGTCTTGCCTGCTTTTTTTTTTTTTTCCAGTTTATAAAAGTCCGACATAGGAAGTTGAAGTGAAAATAACCTGAGCTCAGTACAGATTAACTGTTAGGCTAAAAAACATATACTGCCTGATCTATCACCAATGCCCCCTAGAAAAGGACTTTAGGGCGCATTCACACCAAAATCAGAAAGTACTTGCAGGTCCATGGAGGGTCAGTTGACCTGCGATTGTACCTTCCAATTTCCGTGTGATCCATTGCATTCCATCGTGTTTTTTAAACTTTTTTTTTTTGGACAAGCTTTATGTGAGGTAACATGCCCATACTTGGTCCATACATGTCCATGTCACCTGAAGTATGTAACATGGTAATACTTTATTGTAATACTTGCAATGAGATGCATCGCGTTAACTTACATTTTTGCCACTTTACACTGCAAAAAAGTAGAGCATGCTCTACTTTTTTTCAGTGCAACAAAACAGCAATGCAACACACCGGTGTGAACTGTCCCATTCACACCCGTTGATTTTTCATTGCCCTTGTGTTACCATCTGTTAGAAAACAATGTGAATGGGCCCTTACACAATATTAAAACTTGAAAAGATTAAAGCTGAACACTTCCACCCTCCAGCACTGCATAGGTTAAATGCAACGAGACCCTGTGACTGGCAGGGTGCCAAAGAAAAGCAGCTTCAGGAGACCTGTCCTACCGTTCTGAGGAAGCCTGCAGGAGCAAATAATAAGGTGAGCATTGATGCTTATTCCTATCTGATGCTTATTGTTATGTCCCTAAACAAAACCAGCATTTATGCAGTGTGAATGGGCACTACATGGTTAAACCCATGAGTCAGTGCTCAGGCCTATCAATTGGCTGCTATGGAAACTGGGCAAAGAAATGTGGCAGGCAGAGTCATCTGGAAGTTCAATTTTTTTTTTTATCATGGATCCAGTGGCATATTAGTACATGTATGTGGCGGCAGGGGACATTCAAAATTTTGGTTGGTGTTTTTATGTTTAATTTATTTAACTTTACTTTTTAAAACTGTTTATTACTGTATTGCTATCACACAGGGAACTTGCAAGCTCACAAACCCCAAATGCCACATGTGAACCTCAGTAAAGCTAGTAAAGCACAGATCGTACTTGATCAGCTTCCTCCCCAGCATAAAGTGAGGAAGAATCTCCCCAATGTGGACAAAGACAGGAATACAGACCTTAGCAAACACTGGTTAAATGCTTATTTTGTCTTGGGGTAAAGAAATAAGCAGCTATGCTTACTTTATTCCTTGTTCCCCCACAGCTCACCCTCTCCTCCACTTCAGGATGTGGGAGGGCCCTCACTGTTTTCATGTACAAAGCCTAACTGCTAATCCTGCATTGCAAAGAAATCTTGAGGAAGCAAGGAATAAGACAAATATAGCTGCTTATTTCTCTTCTCCTACACTAAACAAGCATTAATACTTTGTGTAGTGCAAGGATAGGGTCGAGTCATTTTTATTTGAATAAAAAAAAATGGTCTGGAGTTAGACCTTAGGCTACATCATATATAACATAAAACTCTGCTCAAGTAGCCTAGACACAGCAACTTGCCAAAATGGGAACTGCCTGTACATCATATGTGCTCTACGAGATAAGACTGGCAGAGTGCTGGCTGGACGTTGGTCCACCTGGTAGCTCTTGATGCCTGACATTGTCTTTGGCGATGTGCCTTAAGATGTCTTAAGGCACGTTCCCCCCCACCCCCCAGATTTGTCCGGGCCTTCTCAAACATGTTTACTAAGTTAAAAAATATCTTATACCATTCTAGAACTAAAAAATGGGTACTTCTGTTACAAAATGGTGACAAGGTGATTCAGTAATGATCATCTATATTTTTCTACACATTTAAATGAGGGGTTTAAAGAAAATAATCTAGATAATTGAACACTTCTATATTTATTAAGCTTACAAGAGAGCATTAAGGAGGAATTACATCAGAAATCTAACATCCTCTCCTGAAAAGGTTCATATTTTCTGGAGTGGTAAACAAGGAATAATCTACTTGATCAGCTGTCTGGACATCTTTATGTGTGCCCTATGCCCAATGTTCTTATTACTCACTTGGGAGGCAATGATTTGGGGAAAATTTTAACCAATGACCGTCTTAAAGCAGTCTTACAGGTGAGCAGAGGAAGAAACTGAAATCTGTGGAATGGGAAAAATGCTTCAACCAGTGATCAACAGCTATGAATCCATGGAGAACTATCCTAATTGCTCTGACCTGCAGGACTGTGCCTGTGGGGAGCCAAAATCTGGTGATCTAATTATATCAAGTGATCAGTACTCAGTTTAACTTTACTGGTGGGTGTGTATTATGACTCCCTCTAGGCTACACTATGATCCATATTTTAAATGAACAATCACTGAGACAATAAATAGCCCACTAGCAAAGAAAGCCAGACATGAAGATTTCCTGTTAGTTCAGGGAATAGCAAAAAGGATAAGCAATTTTGGGTGACTGCTGCAAAATCTGGATGAGTTAGAAGCTATGCAAAAATATTCATGTTCATGCTTAGCCTATGCTAGAAAATGCCATCTCTGGCTTCCAAATGAAATTTTCCTATATAAAATAGTCTCCAGTTCTGGGCATTTGGCCAAATTGGCATCTAGTACCTTATCTGCCTATGCGGGACAGGTTACTCTGAATGCTTTCATGTGCACATAAATAGGGTACAGGATCCTTGCTGCAAAGAAAATGTGTCTTTTGCTATTTTAAAGTCAAAACAAGGAGAAATATTGATTAATGATTGTTTTTAAATGAAAAGCTAGTTGCGGTTATTTAAGTGGTTAAATAGGAAGCATGTGTATTTGTGTACATTTTAACTACCTATGTGTTTCCCTACAACAGTGCATATCTGAAAAAAAGGTCTCAGATACTTCCTAGGAAAAAAGCTGAAAAGGAAAGAAGTTGAGAAGGGCAGATGATGTTTAAGGTGATGCCTAGAAAAGATTAGTTTTGTGTTGCTCGTGGTTGTTAAATGAGGGATTTCCAAGAGGAATGAAAACCTAAAACTGCCCACAACATGGTAAAAGAAACCTAGAGCTGCATGCAAATGAATGCTACCAGCTGGGCCAGACTGAGAAGTACTGAATTCATCTCATTTTATATTTTAACTAGAGTGTGAGTCCGTGTGTGTGTGTGCCTAAATTAAGCTGAGTGAATGTTTAGAGGCTTTCTCCAATTGATTGTCTAGTTAATTCCTTCCCCTGGTTGGGAACATTTCTCCGATCTATAGTAGAGGTCCACCGAAATGGAAATTTTAAAACCGAAATAAAAAAAATTGTCAGGCCGAAACCGATACCAAAATTGTTTTTTATTTTAATTTTTTCAATTATTTTATATTTTATTTTTATAAACTTTTTTTTTTTTAATTATTTCTCTGATACGCTGTGACAGCGTGGCCTGTCTCCACTGACACACACTGCTCTGCCGGACTGTGATAGGCGGCTGAGCCGTGTGGGAGGAGAGACGCCGGCCGCTCGCAGCGCTCAGCAGGCTATCACAGTTTCTCTCCTCCCCACTGGGACACAGAGAAGCACCCAGCGTGGAGTAGAGAAAAAATGGATGCGCCAATGTATCGGCAGGAAAATTGCACTTTCAGCATTATGCCAAAAGTGCAATTTTCAGCCGATATGTTTCGGCAGCCGATATATTGGTGCATCCCTAATTTATATCAAAGCTTACCTTGCCTATGGGTCCCGGTAAAGGAAAGGAAGGGACATAGCCTTTTGATACGTAGGATAGAAAGGAATACATTTCTTGTAGAGATTAGTGTCTCTACAGGTCTAATCAGGTAAAAGACACTTTAAGGAATGTCACATCTTGAACACCTTTCATCTGTATTATTGCTGGCTAAAGTGGATGGATTAATATGGGTAGGTGATCAGAACTGACCAAAGGGGGAAAATGTGCAGGGAAATTATAGATGATTACAACAGAATTACCTCATCACCATTTTATAACAGCATCAGGCATTTATTAGTTCTGTCAAGGCAAAAATATTTTTTATAACTTAGCAAACAAGTTTAAGAAGGTCTGGAAAAGTGTGGAGGACAGCACCAGACATCAGGAGCTACCAGGTGGACCAACATCCAGGCAGCACCTTGCGAGGCTTATCTCGAAGAAAACACCTGTTGCACATGACTTTGATGTTACATGCCTGGATAGATATGAAGTATGCTCATTATTATTATCATTCAGGATTTATATAGCACCAACAGTTTGTGCAGCGCTTTACAAAAAGCGGGAGACAGTACAGTTACAATACAATTTACAATTCTGTACTACAGGGTTAGGAGGCCCCTGCTTGTGAGATCTTACAATCTGATAGGAGGGGCAAATTAATTAATTGCTATCAACCAATAATGTTAAAGTTTGATTTTAATCTTTATATGCAGAGACTATTAAACCTTTATAATCTTCAGATGCCCTTTGGCTTTTAAGCTACTCCCCCCTACATGTGACAATAAACCTTATCTGATTTGGACTTACTCGCAGATGTTTTTGCAACTGGACCTGAAACATGCTTCACTGAACAAAGACAAATCTTGAATATTGCCCACATTTGTGTTAAATTTGATGTAAAAAAATGGTCATCATGTGGCTAACTTAATTATCCTAGTGCCACAAAGAACAGTTTCAAAAAAATACAAGTTAACCTATACTGTAACACTAAACTAGTCAACGTGTAAATGAAATCCAAGAAGTGGCAAGTACTTGGGAGGAAAAGGAAATCATATCAGAACAGAAATACTGCAAACAGATGACTAACCTTTTTCCCAGAAACATAAAATTTCTTCTCAAGTAATCGTTTTTCTGTCTTGAAAATATAGACCTATGCAGGAAAAGAAAATATAAAAATGTATAACATAATGCAGCTTTATTAAATCACCTATACATATACAGCGATTGTTGCCTGGCCTGACATGCCTGAATAAGGAAACAGTCACATGTCTGTGGGCAGAAAGTCTCTGGCAGACAATTTGGGGGAATAATAAAGCATTCATGTTGGATTTGTTTTCAGACAGTCACTGTTCTTTCTATCCAACATAAGTTGGGGATCTCCTTCTCACCCTCCTACCCTTCCTTGTAGCTATAAGCATACACTCACTCTTTGGTAAATTACTTACAAACATCTGTGAACAGTTTTAAAGCCAAGTCAAAACTTTTCTTTTTAGTTTTGTACAGAGGAAGGAAGAGTTGCAGTCTCTGGTGGGTTTCTAATGTTTTTTGTCCCTTTTGGGAAATTCACCTTCACTCCCTGTTTAGTCAAAAGAACTGGGTGTGGTGGTACAGTTTTCTGATGGTCACAGACACAGTAAAAAAAAAAAAAATCACATTTATTTAGAACAGCAGGTCAGTAGGACATAGACAGCTGGAGTTAGGCTTAATACCACAGATCTGGTCATGATCTGATCTAAGATTAGAGACACCTCATGTAAACAGTGCACAGTAAAAGACCTGATATGATAAATACCTAATATAGCTAATGTAAGATGTTCACTTCCTCCCCAGCAGCATACTGTATATTTCCCTTTCCTTCACTCACCAAGCATCAACACTATCACACAAGAGGAAGAAGAGTGGCTCGCATGCCCCTCCATATTCATGAATACTGGGTATTTTCTTCACTCGAGGTGGTTTAGCGGAGTGTCAGAAAGGAAAACGAAAGAAGAGTATGTGATGCCGTGGAGGGGACATTAACGCAAACCTATTGCTTTGCAGTAATAATACCATGTGGAAAATGTGTGGTATTACACAGCTGCCTAAGGCAGTGAATGGATTAGAAGTAGGAGCATTAGATTAGTCAAACTTAGATCATGTTAGAAAGTTCATAAAGTTAATGTGATAAATCTTTATTCACACTGTCTGCACTGTTAACCTAATCTTTTACACTGCTTACTTAGAAAAGGAAAAGAATTACAGATATGTAGAGTATACTGTACATGACCTTACATAAGTCTAAATCACATGAACATGGTGTAACTCAGATCTGTTTATTCTGCTATTTTGTGTTACATAGAAACATACCAAACCATATGAATTACTGCTATAAACTTAACTTTGGATGTAAATTAGAACTGGACAACATGTATGGTATTTGGCAAGAAAGGGATTGTAGAATCAATCCTCCTTATGTATTTTAAGAGGAACGGAGGGCAACCTAACTCATTAAGGGGTTGGAGGACCAGAGCTATGAGACAAGGCTGTTAAAATTAAATATGTTCTCTTTGGAAGTAAGGAGATTAAGAGGGGACATGATTCTCTTGATAAAATGTTCAATGGTGACAGCAACATTATTAACAAACTCTTTCCGGCTAACTGCATAACAAAAACTAGAGGCCACCACCAAAAATTGGTGGAGAAAAAATTTCAGCACACAGGGCGCAAGGGGTTCTTCTCAGTTAGAGCGGTTAGGGTCTGGAACTCACTGCCACAGGCAATGATTTCAGCTAAGAGTGTGGAATAATTCAAGAAACTCTTGGACGATTTCCTTGGAGACCATAACATACAGGGGTACAGGTACTCCTAAGAGCAAAATCACACATGGATTCATACACACACACACACCAGCTCAACCATAAATGAATACACGCATTAGGTTGGACTTGATGGTCTTTATTCAACCTCAAATACTATGTAACTATGAACTTTACCCACCAATTTAACTACCTCCCGTCCGCCGAACATAGGAAAACGGGAGCCTTGTAGATGTGAGTGGGCATCTTTAAACGTCCTTCCCCTCCCCCCCCGCTCGCACGCGCACTCCGCATGCGCACAAGTGGGATAACTGTGCATGCACTGTCCATTGGACAGTGCTGTTTCCAAAACAAGGTATAGAGCTAGTGAAATCGGCTCTATACTTTGTGATCTAGCTGTGACAAATTGCAGCTTTCAAAAGTGTAAACAATGGCTGCGGTTTGCAGCCTTGTCTCCATCTCCTCTCTCAAACACCATTTGGATGTGAGAGAGGAGATAGAGAACTTCCCAGAAATCGTCCACAGTAAGAATTAAAGTGATAGAGTTCACTCTGCTGCAGATCAGTGATTTCAGTGTTCAATGCAATTTTGCAGTCTCATCATTGTGATCCGCAGTGTCATCAGTGCAATTTCACAGTGTCAGTGCATTGTACAGCCTCATCAGTGATCCACAGTATCATCAGTGCGATTTCACAGCATCAGTGCATTGTACAGTCTCATCAGTGATCCACAGTGTCATCAGTGCGATTTCACAGTGTCAGTGCATTGTACAGTCTCATAAGTGATCCACAGTGTCATCAGTGCGATTTCACAGTGTCAGTGCATTTTACAGTCTCATCAGTAATCCACAGTGGGATTCACTGTGCCATTAGTGTGATTACAGTATTGGCAGTGCCATTCAGTGTCATCAGTGTCATTTAGTGTCATAATTGACAACTTTGTGTAGAAAAAAATAAATGTTCTCTACACAAAGTTGTCAATTACTAAGGTATACTTTATCTAACACACAGCATAGGCATTCTTAGAATTACACCCAAAAACACATTCTGCTACTCCTCCTCAGTATGGGGATACCATGCATGTGAGACTTGTTAGCAGCCTAGCCACATAGAAGGGCCTAAAATCCAAGGAGCACATTACTAAAGGCAGCCATACACAGCTCAAATTTTGCCCAATTACTGCTGAATTGGCCAAGGAGTACCTTGATGCTTTCAAGGGGCATAAATTATGCATCTAATTCCCTCATTACCTATTGCATTTGTGGAGGCCCTAAAGTGCCAGGACAGTAGAAACACCCACAAAATGACCCCATTTTGGAAAGCAGACACTTCAATGTATTCAATAAGATGCATTGTGAATTTTGTGATGATTTCATTTTTTGCCACGAATTTTTAGAAAATAAAGAAGGAAAAAAAATGTTTTCTTCTATCTTCAGTTTCTCAAAACTTGTGGCAAAAAAACTAAATCATCAAAAAACTTACCATGCCTTTTATTAAATAAGAGGCATGGCGTCTGCTTTCCAAAATGGGGTAATTTTGTAGCTGTTTCTACTGTCCTGGCACCTTAGGGCTCCAAAAATGTGATGGGTAGTCAAGGAATCAGATGCGTAATTTATGCCGCTTGAAAGCCTCAAGGTACTCCTTGGCCAATTCAGCAGTAATTGGGCAAAGTTTGAACTGTGTATGGCTGCCTTTAGTAACATTCTTGAACATGGGATAAAGACTCTTCATCTCTTTATAGATTCCTGGTATCTGTCATTCTGAGCAATATTGTGATAATCCTCACAATATATCAAACGTTTTTTTTTTAGATGAGGCCTATTAAAAATGTATTTGTATCTAAAAAATTAGGTCTGTGCAAGATGTCATGGTCATGTGCCCAGGACAGTAAACAAATGTGGAAAATATGGAGGACCAAAGAACCTGAGGAGAAATTCACACATGCTTAAATTTGTATTGAAACTGTAGCATAAGTTTCTATTGAAAAATGCATGAAAACATTTTGTATGACAGCCAAACAAAATCAATAGGTAAGGTAACCCATGCCACTACAATTATCAGGACATTTCAAAGTGTAATGGTGAAGGAGACAATGAAGTAACATACAGCAAACACATTTTAGTTCACAATAGTCACATCATGGAAATATAAGTCTTGTTCTGTGGCTATGGGTTAATGCAAAGTCTGCATTAAAATGTATATGTGTGCTGTGGGCTAAATTCTTCTAATAACACAGCCCTGTGGACTAAGATCCAGTAATGATACAGACAGCAGAGTTTCCTCAGTACTTCATGCAGTGCATTTGATCATAAATTATGCATTTTATGGTCCAAAGCAAACTTTTTTCTGTTGCTCTTTAGGGCTTTCTAAGCTTTATTTGTCATATGGTATGGTTTATTAAATTTAAAGAAGCACTAGGAGTTATATGGAGTGGATCAGTCAGCTACCCTGAATTTCTGGAGATGGTTCTTTGCACTCTTAGCAGGGTTCACATTCATAACATTTTTTATGCATATTGTGTTGGCTTATGTACATCTTTCTCCTTCATACAATGGTCTGCTGGCAAAACACATTACCTTTATTAATCAAGGGAATTTACTTCCAGAGGACATATTCTTACTGAAAAGGAATATGTTTTCCTACCCTAATGGTTCTGACTGTATATTTGCTCTAATGGAATCAGCAATAGAATTGAAATGATCTGAGTGTTTCATGAAACAGTATCAAGACAGTGCCAAGATGTTCATTTGTGTGTAAAAGCTGAACTTTAGGCAGATATAAAAGACAAATTTATGCAGCTGTGTAATCATTAGTAAATCATTAACAGTATATTTAAATTCATACACTGTAAGAACCTGAATTTTACCTAGTACCAGTCTCTTGCAATCCCTGTACAGCAGAGCTGGAGTGTGAGAAGAAGAAGTCGTATAAGCAGTCAATCAGTTTATGAGCTGACAAGATGAATGTTGATAGGAAAAGAAAGCAAAGTGCCAGAGATATGAGCTCATCACTGTGCTTCTTCTCTATTTAGTGTCCAGTCACAGACTAGGGCGGGCCCAGGATGACTTGGAAAATGGGTTAAATGACACTTGCCACTAAACTGTGGAAATCTAGTGGCAGAAAAAAAGTATTGCAAGTAAAATCTCTGAATTAACCACTTGCCGAACGATGATGGAATTATCCCGTAACAGTCGTTCAGTTCGTTAATGACCAATGACGTGATAATTCGGTCAATCGGGACATCTGGTAAAGGTACATCTGGTAAAGGGACCAGCAGCTCATTGAGTTACTGCTGTTGATGAGTTCCTCGGGGTCTGAGGCAGACCCTCAACAGCAGATTAGGTGGTCACAGTCCTGTGATCAGAGCGAGAGCTGATCGCTGTGATCGCAGAGCCGTGACAGTCACACAGCTGGCAGCTGCTCACTGTGTGGGCTGTAAACAGCTAGCCAGCTGTGTTACAAAAGTGGTACAAAGTATCTCTGAGGAGAATACTGTATTCTCCTCTGAAATACTAAGTTTTAAAACCACTGCAAATAGCAAAATAACCCCTTAGTGCCCCCTAGTTTAAACAAAAAAGCGATTTAAAAATAAAAAATAAACAACATTAAAAAAAGGAAAAAGTTTAAAAAAAGTAAGTTTTTTAAAAATATGTTTAATAGAAAAAAATAAGGAAAATGTAGTGCCTAGGAGGCTATGAAAGATAGGAGAAAAACATACCACAGTCTAAAACTGTTCCACACTAAAATTGTATTTCACTCCTTGTATTCTGTCCAAATTAATTGAAATCCCAGACTTATGATTTGCCCTATAAATCAGCACAAATAAAAAAGTGTATTATGAATTACTTTCTGTTAGCTAAACTTTTTATGTACACATTATTATTGCCAAAGCTGTGAAAAATGTGTTTTATTTTTAATTTGTTTGTATTTTCTTATTAAAAAAATAAGAATTTATATATGCATGTGTGACATCAAAATAAAGCCCATTTGGTCCTTTAAAAAGCGGTATATAATATGTGTAGGTGAGGAAGATGGAAATTATGGCTAAACAAACACACAGCAAAAAGGGCAAAATTGCTCCTGTCCCCAGAAGCGGAAAACATTTCTGAAGCTGTGTCACTAATGGGTTAAAGTTGACTATTGCAGCATAAGCTGGCTTTGTTATTTTATCTTTTATAGAGCCATTCATTCATATTTTATTCTGTTATTTTTGGCATATCTGGTTGTGTGCCTAATGGGAATGTGTTCCTAATGGAGAGGATCTTCCTTTCCCAGTAGCAGTAACCACCCAAGCAAGACATCTTTCTGACTGGGAAGGCAGCCCTAGAAAAAATAATTTTGTTAAAGTAGACATGTTTAACCTCTGTCTGTCATTTTGTAGTCTGCAGAACAGGATGTTTGTACAAGTATACCCAGCAGAGATGCTAATTGGCTATACACTAATAGTTTTTTTGCTTAGCCTGAGGGCTAAACGAAAGAAATCTAATAGATTCCACCTTTCACACTAAATAACTTCGATGGAAAAATTTCCCACAGTGGCTACTGTATGCTGACAGCTTGAGCCGCCCAACTTTTGTCAAGTCAGCAGGGTGGGCTACCTACTGTAACAATTTCAGCCAATTCTAACATTGTGTGGCCAGCCCTAGACTGCAACAAACACATGAAACATATTCTTACATTCCCACACTCTTTCACATGCAAACTTGAAAGACTACATCCATTCAAAACTAAAGAAAAAAAATCAGTGTTCAGCAGAAACTGGTTACTTTTAGGGTGCCAGAAACAAGATATATCCAAATAACACTATAGCAGGAGTAGCCAAACTCCGGCCCTCCAGCTGTGGCGAAACTACAAATCCCATCCGGGAGTCATGTCTGTGATAATCTTGCAATGCCTCATGGGATTTGTAGTTCCACCACAGCTGGAGGGCCGGAGTTTGGCTACCCATGCACTATACGGACGGACACAAATGTGCAGTTTGGGTTTAGGGTGAATTAGGTTATCACTATCATGTCTTTGTAGACTCTCGTTTAAAAGAAATGTCCTTTTTGGTGAGATACCCCCTAAGGGTTAACTACTTTTAAAGGAATGCAGACACTGCCACTTTCCTCATTAGAACACTGAAAGTGCACCTGGTGGTTATAATGAACTCAGACCCTCCCATTCAGGGATCAATCTTGAATGGAAAGGACATGGTGGAACAAACAGTTTTTTTTTCAGAACAGAAAAAGGTTGGAATCTGCCACAAAGTTTAGTAAATCTCTTGCAACAGAGATTGTACACCCAGAGGGATTGTAATTGTTACAACAAATATGGAGTTATACTTTAAATGAAGATTCACATAGGTTGAGCTATAATGGTAATAACAAATAAGCGTGGGTTAGGAATGAACGGTTTAAACACACATGTTCTTGACTGATACTGCTGAGACAAATTAACACTATAGTTTTGTATACATGTTCTTTAAACCTAACAACATTTTTTGGTGGTGGCCGTATTTTCTACAAGCTGCTTACTGTATGTTAACTACTCTTAGGTCATTTTATCAAGCTAAGTTATTTAGCTTATCTGAAAAATGAGTTAGTCCCCCTTTGCCTTGATATTCTATTTTCTTACACCTATGACGCTGAAGCATGAATCACTGCTTTCAACTTGACCTTCTTGCCCCCCACAGTGAAACATGCTGGGCCTTGTACCACTAAGGAGGAAAAGATGTTGTATCACAGTTTACACCTTTTCCTGACACATCATCTGCTGACATCATATTACAGATATTGTGCCTAACATAAGTCACTTTTTTAATTTGTATAAGAGGACAATAATGGCAAGTCACTGGGTGAGAAGGAATGGCCAACTAAGAGACTCTGTAAATTCAACCTCTCTGAATTTGAACATTTATTTGTTGATAGTCCTATATGCTGTCTTGTTAATGAGTATAACAAACTATACATTTTAAATGGTTATATGTATAAAGTAGAGCCTCAGGCTCTGCTCTTTTTTTTATAAAGGTTAAGGTATTCTTTATTGCTTTGGAGAACCATAAACAAATGTATTAACATTCAGTCTATGGTGATAATAACCTCCCAAAATCCCTTTAAATACAAAAACTAGGGGTTATTGTCAGTTTAGCAAGACTGGCTTATATCCAACTTTGCATTACCTCATAAACAATAGGCTAATTTTATCTCAACTGCTGCAAAGGAAATTAAGAGGCTTTGTTCATATTGGCTGTGGAATTGAAGCTGCTAGCTCTATGTCACATGTCCCACAGCAACGGAACCCTCACCTTTCCGATACCTCTATCTTGGGGAGCTCCGGCTACTACGTCTACAGTGGTAGGATGAATGAAATGACCAGCTGTGACTGCATACCCTACAGATAAACAAAAAGAAAACATTTGTCACAATGCAAAGCAAACTGCATCTGAATGCATTGCAAAAGTAGTATAAAGACAAAACACATGACTTTACATTCACTTCTTTTTGCATTAGACTAAAATAAACAAACATGTATGTCCACCAAACATGTACATTACTAATGTAGTGAATGGACTTTTAGTGAGGAATCATGCTAAACATAAATATTTAGGCTGATGTCACATGGGAGATTCTTCTGCTGGTGGCACAAAGCTAGCAGCAGAATCACAAAGGAGAGGCTTCCACTTATCTTAATGAAATTGCTCCCTCTCTGGCCCGGGCTCACTAACAACAAAGCAGAAAGAGAATAACTGGTCTGCAAGAGATCCTATCACACGTGTGAAATGGGCCCTGATTTCCCAGACATGCATAAGAAAAACCATCTTTATTTGTCTAGGAAGTTTACTATATTCATATATCAAAACCCTTATTTATAATAGTAAACCTTGGCTAAGAGAAATACAAGAGCTGATGTTTCTGACCGTCATCTGAAAACACTAGTTGCTTGGCTGTTATGCTTACCCTCTTGGTTTAATACTTTGTGAGGCACCCATCTGGAACACGTATGCATACCAGGAAAGACAGAGGGGGAAATTTATCAAAACTGGAGCAGACAGTATCTGGAGCAGTTGCCCATGGCAACCAATCAGCTTCTCTCTTCAGTTTGTTCAGTTAAGATTTGAAAATGAAAGAAAGAAGCTTATTGGTTGTCATGCTCCAGATTTTGTCTGCTCCAGTTATGATAAATTCCCGCCCTCTGTGTCAAGTCAGAAGTTGTTGTCTGCTTGCTTTAAATGTTCTGGTTATATGACTAAAAGTCAAAGGCTCAGGATGATTGCTAGTCAACTAGCATTTAAAGAATAAAAACATCAGTAATATCAGCTTCAATGCTTCTTACGGGAACGGTTTCCTTCAAAGGACAAATCTAACTTTGGTACACTTGTCCTTTAACCAATTCTCCCACAGCTCATCAGACCAAATACTTCCCTTTCTCCTTGATCCAGTGATACCTAGTGTAGAGCTTACCCACAGGAATGAATAGACCCACAGAGTACACTAGGAGGAAAACTCTAATTGTTGTAGAGGCTGCACAGCCTCTACAACAATTCAGGGCTACACAGCACAAATCGCTAGCTCAAGGAGAAAAGTAACTATTTCAGCTGATGGGATGCACTCAGGGGATGGGGGGAAACCGATTAATGGACAGTTATATGAAAAGTTCTGTTGGCCTTTAAGGTATTTCATCTGCCCAAGCTTTTGCTGTCTTTCGCATCTAGTGAAGATATAAATGAGGATTTAATCCGGAGAAAACACATTTCTGTTTAACAGGAAAGGGACTACGGCACTTGCCTAAGTATGTGTAGCGTTTAGCAGTGACATGTTGATCATTCAGCTTGAAGTATGTGTTGTCAGTGATGTTCAATACTTTAACTGTTCCAGTCCAGTAATAGGATCCCGGAGCTCCCATTACAACTAGATCCTAAAAAAGAAAAACAAAATATGATATATACTCTAGCATTTATAACAACAAAAACATGCTCTTATTGTGTAGTTCCTTCTATTTTTAGAAGTAAGGGTCAAATGAGGGTGTTCATTTGCAACGTCTGAACACAAAAATGGAGCAGATGTAGTTTGTAAATATCACATTGTCACTTGATCACCTGTTGCATTTGTAGACACTTTTTG